AGCTGTACGAATCTGGGAGAGCCTTTACATGAAAGTTAATGACTTCAAGGGCAAGAAACTGAGCCTCAGGGACTAAGTGTCTGGGCTGAGGGCAAAGGTCTCGGTTCTTCACCCTACACATCACTGCTTCCCTCCACACTACTGCCCTGAAGGCACTGTGGGTGGAAGAGCCTAAGCTCGGGTGCCAGGCAGCCCTGTGTGCAGACATCTCCCGCAGGACACAGTGCAAGTCAGCGGGCCTCCCTTTCCTCCTGCCACACGCCCACTGTCACACCTGACAAACGGTGAGTAGTCAAGCACAGAAATGCTAATTTCTAGAGTCACTATGGTACTGTTTTGTCAGATTGGTTTCTGATGACCTCCAACCCAGTTTGGGCGTCTACATCTTAGTGGCAGCTGTTTAATCAGGTATTCTTTTGAAGAAAGAAATTCTTTCAAAGAACATTAGTGCCCTTCAACGGAGCCACCTAAAAACCAGATGGTTATCTGGTCGTAGGTGAACACAGGAAGCACCTCTCCCGCTACTTTCATTCTAATCTCATTAACACCGGTCATCTGCATATGTAAATGTTCTGCCGAAGGCCACAATGTCCCTATGGGCAGTTTTAGGAACAGCGCCTCTGGACAAATGTTTCTAGCCAAAATATGATTCTGAATTGAGAACCAGTGTGGGAAACAACAACGGGCTTTCCATCTCAGGCACCAAACCACACCAGAGGCATCGGCTGATTAACCGGGCGGCAGGTGACAGAAAGTCGGTAAACTGAGCCTCGGCCCGTTATCATGGGAAAACGCGGAGAAGGGGGGCCAGAGAGACCAGGGGTGCAGGAGGGCACCAGATTTCTGCCTACACCACAACACACCTTCCACTGTTGCTGTCATTGAGCAAACACTATGCTTAGTTAGGGAAACATTTTGCTTCATGTTTCCCTAAAGGAAAACTTAGCACGTTTACTACTGAATATATGCTTCGATTTACTATTTTTGTAACTGACAAATTTACATAAGCCAAACAACGACTCTTCAACGTTTATTTATTTTTGGGACAGAGAGAGACAGAGCATGAACGGGGGAGGGTCAGAGAGAGAGGGAGACACAGAATCGGAAACAGGCTCCAGGCTCTGAGCCATCAGCCCAGAGCCTGACGCGGGGCTCGAACTCACGGACCGCGAGATCGTGACCTGGCTGAAGTCGGACGCTTAACCGACTGTGCCACCCAGGCGCCCCCAAACAACGACTCTTCAAAAAGGCTTCTGAACACCTCCAGTTTTAGCTCCCAACATGCAAAGACAGCTTGGAAGTCATCCCTCCCATCAATACAACAAGAAAACGCTGGACAAATGGAAGATCAACTACCTTCCCCGGACCTAAGAACCGTGGGTGAACCACCACCCAAACTCTGGGGAGACAGGTGCATCCAGAGAGCTGTCGCAACCAAGACCTACTTACCTAGAATGGAAACTGCCAGAGCTATCAACTGATAGGAATACTTAAAAGGTCACTTTGATGAACTGCTGGTGGCTGAGTATGACCAGCACGAGCGAGAAACCATCAAAGGCTGCGGTCTTAGGGGGGCCCACACTTTCACAGGCTCTCCCTCCAGGAGCCCAACCAGGCTCTCATGGTGAGGACATGAGAAGGATGTCCGTCCAGGTCTCACAGGGAGACAGGAAGAGCAGACATTATGAAACACTGTTCAGAGCCTTCTCCACAGCAAAGGCTCACTCTCCAGCAAGAAGGACTTCGCCAGGGCAAATTCTGGAATGTGGTTGCAGCTGCAGGAAGGAAATGCCTCTGTACTCCAGCCCCCTCCAGCCTTCCTGTCTCATGCAGGGAAAAACAACAACAAAAGGGAGGAAAGGGGGGTCAGGACTTCAAGGAAGTCCTCCTGGGGCCCCGCAGCCAGAGAAGGGTCCGGGGGAGGGAGGTGGCTCTACTCGTGAACGCACACTTTTGGAGGCCACTCTCCTGAAACACTGCCGCACTAAGAGACTGAGGGTTGATCCAAGGATGGGAGAATCCACCCCCTTTCAACACCTTCTCACCCGCCAACAGGGCTCCAGTGTTCACAACAGTGGGTGACAGTTAAAGGAGACACACTCTCTCTGAGGAGGGGGACCCAGGGAAGCCCCACATAAAGAGGGAGGCAAAAATCAGGGCACAACGGGAACCCAAAGCCTCCGGTATCTGTGGCCCGAATAGACGTCAAGTACAGCCCAACTTCCAGCCAGATTAACAAATCGTGACACCAAAGGCCCATCCACCTCAGCTGCCATTGCCCGATGCGGCACGTCTGGCTTTCAACAACAAATTACAAGGTGTGCCGTAAGGCAAGAACACACTCTGAAGAGGTGAAGCAATCATTAGTACCAGACTCAGACATAACAGACTCTGGAATTATCAGACAGGGAGTTTTAAATACCTCTGGGGGCGCCTGGGAGGCTCGGTGGGTTAAGCAACGGACTTTGGCTCAGGTCACGATCTTGCAGTTCGTGAGTTCAAGTCCCGCACTGGGCTCTGTGCTATCGGCTCTGAGCCTGAAACCTGCTGCGGATTCTGTGTCTCCTTCTCTCTCTCTCTGCCCCTCTCCCCCTTGTGTTCTCGCTCTCAAAAAGAAATAAACATTTAAAAAAGAAAACTATGATTAATATCGTCAAGGGCTTTCATGGTGAAAGTAGACAAACTGTAGGAACAAATGCATAGTGTAAGCAGAGAGATGGAAAATGTAAGAAGCAATCAAAACGGAACGCTAGAACTAAAAAACACTAGCAGAAGTGAACAATGCTTTTGATGGGATCATTAGCTGACTGGACACAGCTGAGGAAAATCAGCACTCTTGAAGACAGGTCAAAAGAAACTTCCCAGTCTGCATCAATGCAAAGAACAAAAAAGAAAAAAACTCAACACAAAAATACCCAAGAACTGTGAGACAACAGTAAGAGGTGTAACACGTGCATAATTGTAATACCAGAAGGAGAACAAAGAAAGAAGGGAGAAGAGTTATTTGAAGAAATAATGCCCGAGAACTTTCCAAAATTAATGACGGACACTAAATCAAAGATCCAGGAAGCTCATGAAACGTCAAGTTGGATAAATGGCAAAAAGTCTATCCCCAGACATATCGCATTCAAACCTGCAGAAAACCAAAGAGGTAATCTTGAGAGAAGCCAGAGGGGAGAAAGACACATTGCTTCCAGGGGAACGAGGGTAAGAACAGAAGCCATGCCAGCAAGAAGAGAATAAGTGCTTATTAAATAGAGTGTGGAAAGAAACCCCCACCAAACCAAAGTTTACATCCAGCAAAATTATCTTTCAAAGTGAAGGAGAAATAAAGACTTTCTGTAAGTGTTTATTTCTAGAAGTTATTATTCTGGGTTGGGGGGGAAAAGACGCACAGACACAAATAATAACGCGTTGCCACCAGACCTGCGATGCAAGAGATGTTAAAAGTTCTTCGGTAGAAGGAAAATGATGGAGGTCAGGAAGTTAGATCTACAGAAAGAGTCAGAAAATGAAGATAAGGCATTTTCTTTTTGCTTATTCTTCATCGATCCAAAGCATAACTGCTGATTTAAAGCAACAACAAGATCTGTCCGTTAGGTGATTCCGGTATATGGATGAGTGGAATGGCTGGCAGCTGTGTGGTGAGGACAAGAGGAAGGAATTGGGGATATTTTGTTATGGGGTGCCTGCACTACATGTGAACCGGGAAGGTGTTATTTGAAGGTGTCATTTGGATGAAATGTACATTTTAAAGTTGTTGGCAACCACTAAAAATTGTTTCAAAACAAGTAGTAATTAGTAGGCTAAAAGAAAAGATAAAGACTTAATCATGTAAAATGCTGAAGTAAACCTAGAGAAGATAGAAAAAAGAGAAAAAGAAATAAGCAAATATAATAGAAAACAGTTTTCAACATGGTAGATATTTTTTATTAAAAAAATTTTTAATGTTCATTTTTGAGAGACAGAGAGAGACAGAGCGTGAGTGGGGGAGGGGCAGAGAGAGAGGGAGACACAGAATCCAAAACAGGCTCCAGGCTCCGAGCTGTCAGCACACAGCCCGATGCGGGGCTCGAACCCACGAAAGGTGAGATCATGAGCTGAGCCAAAATCAGATGCTTAGCCAACTGAGCGACCAGGC